GAATTCTTATTTAACAATAAAATAGCGTAAAAACACAAAGAGTGAATGGCAAATAACAATGCAAGCACACTAACTGTATAAAACAGATAAATTGAAATAACTTATAATATTGAAATAAATACTACAATAGAAAAAGTTTGTTGATAAGTGCAAGAATACGACTAAAAGCTAATACTAAAAGTAAATATTGAAATGAAATAGATAAGTAGAAGTGATAAAGAAGAGAATAACAAGAAAATCAAAAAGAAAGAAGAAAAGCAAAGAAATAATTTTGTGGAATAAATAACAAATTAAAAAAAAGAATTGTAAAAAGAAAGAAGAAATAGAAATTAAAAGTTTTTAATAAAAAGCATATAATTAAATAATAATAGAATCTATGTTTATTATTCTTGAATCAGGAGGAGACTAATATCTTCAATGAGTCTTCATGTAGTTCAACAACATATGTTTGGTTATGGTAGAATCAATGTTCTATGACGTCCATCATGTTTTTAATTACATGGTTTTTGATTTCTTTTTATGATATCAATTTCATTCTTTAATTATTTAATTATTTAGTTATTTTATTCATTTACTATTTAATTTATTGAAATTAATACTCTATTTATTTTGATATTTCTTATTTTATCTATTTTAATTAATATATTCTTCAAATTTCTTTTATTCAATTATAATCAATTATTATTGTGATATCATTATTAATATCAAATATTAGACCAGTTTTATTCTTTTTATTTATTACATTATATGTTATTTTATGATATTGTAATTCACTTTTTGATATTATTTATGTTCCATATCATAATGATATATTTATATTTGAATATTGTTTTATTGTTGATTTCCTGTATGATTATTTCATTTATATTTCTTTATTAATTCATATGATAATACTAATGTTATCATATTTCTAATTTTGTGATTTCTTATGACAAATACAAGATAGTAGAATTGTTTTATTGTCAATAACTTGTATTTACAAAGTGGGCAGTACTTCAATCTTTCATTTTTTATTATTTTATCTTTCCTGTACCCACAAAATATTGCTCCATCTTGTATTTTAGTTAATTGAAGAAATATATTTTTCTTTATATTGATGGACTCTTCAATGCATTGATTGTAGTAGTTTTATCTACAAATTTTGAATCGAGCCATCTTCTAAAATGTACACTTGTTTGATTTCCATTTTTTGATGTATTGGTCGGTCATTAATTTCTTTATTTTTAATACTACTTCTTTTTCTTTTTTATTTTCAATAAATTCATTTATTATTTCTTCTATTTTCGTTTCTGGGATTTTATGACCTAGTACTTTCTTAATTCTATTCAATATTCATTTCTTGGAATACCATCTATCTATTATGTTATTTCTTATTTCATTCTTGTACAATAGTACATCACTCTTCTAATTAATTCAATAACATATTCGTCCCTTAGGCTTATTAATCATTCACCAATTTCATTTATAGGGACATATAGATGGTCTTTGGAGTTACAACTAATGTATTTTGCCTTTCTTAAATATTTTCTTATCTCCAAGTCCATTCTATCTAGGTCAGTTACCTTCCAATTTACTACTGATGCTGAATATCTGAAGATGGGTATTACTTCAGTATTAATTCTTGTAATATAACTTCTATTACTACATTCATCAGTATTTATTTCTTCCATTTTCTTCATCATCTTTTCTTTGATGATTTTACAATTGAAGGTATCATTAATTTCATCGGACTGTCATATTCCTAAATATTTATACAAGTCATCTCCTTCAATTATTTGGATGTTTTGCATTCCATTTGGTATTTTATTAATGTTTTTTAATACCATTCCTGATTTATTTTCATTTCCATCCCTATTCCACTTATTATTTGTTTAATTTCATTGTGGATTGTTCCCATTTCTTCACTATTTGTGTCATTATTCTCAAATCATCCATATACAATGTATTGTTTGATTTTGGGAACTTCTCTTCTATGATTTGAGAAATTACATTCATTTTGATGATGAAGAGTAGAAATGATAATGAATCACATTGTAAAATTCAACAATTTAATACATCCTAGATATTCATTATATTTATATCATATGAATATCTTCCATCTGTTCATCATACTTTCTACAATGTCTATGATGACTCCCTCTACATTAAAATATTTAAGTGCTTCTATTACCCATTCATGATTTACTGAGTCATATGCTTTCTTAATGTCATAATATGACTCTACATATTTTGGGTATTTCTCTTCTTTTTGCTGCTTTAACATATAACTGTTAATTAATCGTTCTTTATCAGCAAGAGATTGCAGTTTACATCCCAATTGATTTTTACTAATTTTTAATGATTCATTATTCATGTTAATTCTATTGTGAATCTTCTCTTTCAATATTGAGGTAAATATTTTCATAATTACATTTGTACAACTGATAGGACGATAATTAATGACATCGTTCATATCACCTCCTTTGTTGATTAATATAGTTCTTCCACTTACCATATCTAGAAGGATGTTTTCTGGGAAGTTTAACCATTCATTGAAGATATTAAGAATGGAATTTCTTGATGATGACATTCTCTTCCAATAATACAAATATATAGTGTCAATACCTGGTGCTTTCCAATTACTTATTTTCATCAGGCTTAGATTTAGTTCATCCAATGTGATGATGACACTATCATAATTCCTGTATCTTTCATTCCACGAGATGATTTGATTTATTTTCAAATGTTCTTTATTTAATATCACCTGTGTTTCATATAACGATTTCAAATATTCTAAAGTAATATCGTTATTTGGGTATATTTCATTTTGTTTTTCTTCTTTATTTTAATTTTGTTATTAGAATCAAACATGATTTTATTTGTATTGATTCTGATAATTTCATTCTTATTAAATTTAATTCTTTCTTTAATCATTATCATCATATATTTTAGGTACTTTATTCTTTCTTGTGCTTTCATTTTAATTTCATCTGCATCTTGTTCCTTTAATCTCATGACGCATTTTATTCTGTACCATCTCCTTCCCTTGATTAGGTCTTCTAATCTATTTATTTTCTTTATGACTTCTTTTATTTCATCAAATTTATCTCATTTAAATTTATTTTAGAGATAATAATACATACACATTGAAATCATTTTCATATCTTCTTGTAGATTTTCTATTCTCCTGACCATACCCATTTATTATTAATTTCTCTTATTAATTTATCTGATTCTTTCATTTTCCAGTAGTAATTAATATTTACACATTTATCTATTTTCATTTCTTTAACTTGAATGATGATAGAGTTAAGATATTCATCATCAATATTAATAGTATTATTTTTTATGATAATGTTTTTATTATTGGATTACACTCTAATTTCCCTTCTATGATTGAGTTCATTTTCATTTTGATGTATCTTTTAGTTGTTTCTTTTATTCTATGTGATATTTTAATATTATTAATGTATTCTTTATCATTATTTACATTAATATTTATTACTTTTATTATACTTTTTATTTGTTCCCATCTTAATTTATTATTTAATTTCTTATATAACAAATTAATTCAAAACAATACAACACATCAATTAAAATTCTATTTGTTTGATTTGTTGTGTTTTCTTCTCTTCTTGATTGATTATCATTCTTGTTTTTTGATATTCATTGTTTTGTTCTCCTATTTCCAGTATTTTCTTTTTCATAATGGTAGTTTTGTTCATTTGTATTATCCTAGATGATGTTGTTGTTGTTCTCAGTATTTGTTGTGTATTTATCATTAATGTTATTGTTTTCTTCATCTTAATTTCTGAGATAAAAAATAAACAATAAAATGTTGAGATTTAATATTAATTGATTTTGTTCTTTATTTTCTCTTTGTGTATAGTCTAATTCTTCTTTTGTTTTTCTGCAATCTCATAGTATTCAATTCCACTTTTTTGATATTCAATGATGTTTTTATTTATTTTTTATCTTCTTCTTCAGAACCTCAGCACTCTTCTCTAACACATCACCCTTCTTCTTCACCAGCTCAGTACCTTTAAAGATTTCATCCTTCTTTAGTTTCTCATAGCTAGTTCTGAGCGTTTGGATGGTTTCATCCTTACCTCATACTTCAATGTTCCTTGTACCATTAGTTTCATTTATTTTTCATTATAATGAATTATTTTCCTCTTTTAATTTAATGTTTTCTTATTTCATTAAATGTAATTTGAATAATGTTTATTTTTGTTTTCATCTTTTCTATTTCATCTTTATTCTCTTTTCTAACTGTATCTCGTGTTTTTTGAATTATTTCATCTGAAATGGTTCGTTCTTCTTCCATCTTTTTAGTTTGAAATTCTTTAATAGTTTCTTCATTTCTTTGATTTTTATTTTGAAGAATGTTAATTTCTTCTTTGTTGCTTTCTTCTTCCATTTTCTCTACTTTCTCTTGTTTTTCCTTTATTTTCTTTTTCATTTATTATTCTTGCATATTTACATCTATCGTTCATTTCTTTGATTCGATTTTTGTTTTTGATTCCTTCTTCGGTTGTTTTAATATCATCATTTGTCCAACCTTTTGTTTTATCATTGAATTCTTTTTTGATTTTCTTTATTATTTTATTATACATTCTCTTTATCTTCTTATTTTTTATTTATTTCTGATTATTTTCATTTCTCATTTTCACTTCTTATTCTTTTATTTTTCAATTTAATTTCATTTATTGTTAATAATTTAGATTTCTTGTTTGTATAATGTTTATTATCATTATATTTACATTGTTTCTTATTTGTTTTTATTTGTATTCTTCTTTTTTAATCACTTTTCTCTTGTTATTTCTTTTATCATTGTTATTATACATTTTATTATTTCATTCATTCTTTTCTTTGAACATGAATACCTGTTTGTTGTTTGGTTTTCTTTACAAGACTCTATGGTATTACTCAATAAGCATGACACACAATTGATATATTCTGTATTGATAAAAGGATCTCTTATAAAATAAGAATAAAAAGAAAAAGGAAATTTAAATCAATTAATTAAAATCTCCGAAATCAGTAGAATCAAAAGAAAAAGAATCGAAATTGAAAGAATTCTTTGATTCATCAAAATTAGGTTTAGAAGAAACAAGATTTGATGGATGAGTATCACCAAAAGAAGAAGAATTAAAATTGAAAGTAGAAGATTCATCATTAAAATTAGAAGTATTTTTAAAGTCAAATAAATTTGTTGAAGATGAAGAAGGATTTTCATTAATAGAAAGAGAAGAATTTAATTGGTCAATTTCATCAATAAGAAAAGGTTTAATTTGATTATTGTTAGATGAAATAGTAGAAGGTTTTTTAAAATAAATAGTATTATTTTCTTGTCTAGGAAGAACTTCTTTAAGAATATAGTCATTAAAAATATTATAAGAAAGATCATCTTTTGTAATAGAATAGAGTTGAATCATTAAATAATATTCAAATATATATAAATCGAATTTAAAATGATCTTTTAATAATAATTTATCATTTTCAATTAATTGTTCAGTTAATTTATAATTTTTTAAAATATTATTAATTAAATTTTTATTCTTTTTAATAAGAATTGTAAAAATATCATTTAAATATTGTCGATAAATACTTGAATTGTTTTTTTTTATTAAATATATTGAAAGAAGTTTTGAAATAATTTCTTCTCCTTTTCTTTCAATTATTTCTGCTTCATATTCAATACAATATTCAATAATATGTTCAAAATCAATTATTTCTTCTTCAATTTTTTCTTCTTTAATTTTAATATCTTTTTCTATATTTTCTATTACTTTTTCTAATCCTTTTATCATTTTTTCTTGTTTAATATTATTTTCTTTCTTAAGTGGTAATATTATTCTTAAAATATGAATTAATTCTTTTTTTTTATCTCCTTTCTTTTTTTGTTAATTTCTTTTTATTTTATTTTAATTAATTGTTTTAAAAACAAACATTTAAAATAATATTTTCAAAATATTCTTCTATTTTATCTGATTTAATAAATTCTTCATACATTTTTTGACTTATTGAATTCTCCCATTCCATAATTTCTTTTAAAATTACTTCAATCTCTTCAATATATTTTCCTTCTATTATTTTCTCTATAAATTTATTCATATTATTATTTTCAATTGTATTTGTTTGAATTAATAAAAGTAAATAATTACTTTTAATTGATTCATTTAAATTGTCATATAAATTATTTATCATTTTTTCTTTCTTTCCTATTTCTTTTTTCTATTCTTTATTATTATTTATTTTTTTTTTCTTTTAATTCCTTTTTAACAAACAAATTCTTCTCTTTTATTTAATGCTATTAATATATTTACTATATTATTTAGTACTCTTTTATCTTTTTCTTTTATAAATGTTTCTATTAATTTCTCTTGAATTTCTTTTCTTTTAATTATTTCTTCTTGAATCTTTTCTACTTCACTTGAAAATGTTTCTGATGCCATTCCTCCTTTTTTCCCACTTTCTCCATCACAAATATATTTAATACTTTTTTCTATATTTTCTTCTTTTAAAACACTACTTTTTATTCTTTTATTCTTTTTATCTTAATTCTTTTCAAACAAACAATTCAATCAATCTTTCATTAGATTTTAATTCTAATAAATAATGTGGATCTTCAAATATTTCTTCTATTTGACATCCCTTTTTCTTTAATATCTCATCTATCGTTGATGATATACTTGTTACTCCTTGTAATGACCAAAAATCCATTTCTTTTTATTTTTTATTTTAGTTCTTTTCTTTTATATTCTTTTTTTTTTATTTTTTATCTTTATTTTCTTTTGTTTATTATTCTTATAAAAAGATGCTAAGCATTACAGGAAACACCACAAAAATTATAATAAAATCAATAACAAATGAAGGAAAAATCCTTATCATCCATGAAATATAATGATAGAACAATGAGTGAAAACACGTATTATCTGTATGGACAGAAATACATTAATCTTCACATTAATCATTACCATAATAATAACTATCGCCATAACAATTATCATAATAGTTATAATAATAATGGTATGAATCGTTTCATTCACTTCATTCATTTTCATCATAAGTATTTTACCAATAATTCAAATAGAAACAATCAGTATTATAATACAAATAATTCACATAATAAAACACAACATAGACATAAACAATACCATAATAAAAAACAACAACAAATAAGAAATAAAAGAAATGATAGAAATACAAAACCAAGAATATTTGAAAAGACTATTTGAAGAAGAAATTAAAATACTTACACAAGAAATAGAATAAATTAAGAACACTAAGATTAAAGAATATAATCAACAATAATGAGAAGATAGTATTTATTTGTAAGAGAAAAAACAAAAATGATTAGAAAAGGAAACAATCAGTA